TGCCTCCCCTCCGAGTATGAGGGAGGTCTTGATCCGTTGACTCGGACACGGGTTGGGCTTCACACGGGACAAATTCAGCAACATCATCATCATTATTATTATGCGCGGGTGTGAATAAAGCGGCGGCCGGAGTATCGTCCGGCTCTGATACAGGAGGAGCAGGGGTAACACCCTGCGATCTGAGTAATGGAGACGAGGTAGATGCGCGCAAGATGAATGAGTCAAATAGTCCGTGGAACCGAGATGGGGCTCGAGGTGCCGTGTTCACGACGAGCCGCTGGCAAAACCCTGCTGCGACGCCTGGGCCGGAGGAGCAACCGGTGCTCCTATCCTGCTCTGCAGCAAGCGTGCTAACTCCGCTTGATCAGCCGGAGATAGTGAGGCGGCGAAGTCGTCCACGTTGGCGAAGGTCGTGGCACTTGCCCGATAGCCAGCGGGGAAGGGGATCATGCGATTCCGGCCGTACTTCTGCCGAATAGTCTCCGTCGGCGTAGTACAGTTGCGCGCCAGGTGGTGCTCACCACACTGGTAGCACACTATTGCTGCGTTGGCCGTGTCAACGTCCATTGGCGCCGCGCCAGTGTTGGCTGTTGGTGCCTGCATGTGCGACTGCTGGGCTGGGGCACTCCAAGAGTGCCAGTTGCCGTTGCGTGGCTGCTACTGGTTTGTGTTACGCAATGGCTGCTGCTGCTACGAAGCACCCGTGGACTGACCAGTGTTGTTGTTTGCGCCAGCGGACTGGTTACACATGGACAAGTTGCCTGTGGTCGCCTGCAATGAGGGCCGGTCTGGATGATCTTTGCACTACTGCCTGTCAAATAGGACGGTATCCTCGTACCAGCCTTGGAGTGTGTCTGGGTGATGCTTGCCCTGACCATTGATCTTGTCACAGATGGCAGGCTTTAGGCTCCTCTTGTAGAGCTCAATGAGTGCGGTGTCGTTGAAGCCCATGTGGCCGGCCCAGTCCTTGAACAGATGCGTGTGCACCTCTGCAGACTGCACGCCTTGTTGCATAGACAGGATCTTGGTGATGGCTGTTTTCTGGATGTCAACGTCCTCGAACTGCTGGAGAAAAGTGCGCAGGACCGTGTCAAGATCGAAAAGCCAGCCAGTATAAGCCGGTACTGGTTGTCCCTGCTGCTGGGCTTGACCCGCCATTTGCCGATACTCTGCATAGTCAGCCATGATCTGCTCACACCACATAGCGGTGGACTGGTCAAGAAGTGTGGAGACCAGAACAATCTTGTTGTGGTCGGTGAGCGGGTTGCTAGCGGCTTCCTCTTCGGCGACGAGGTAGTTCCGCACGTTCTGGACAAAGTCGCGCGGCGTGGGGTCATAGACGCCTTTGTCATTGGAGACGCCCGAGAAGGTGCGCGGAGCGTGGACGCGGATGTGCGAGCGCTGCGGACCTGGCGCTTGCTGAATGATGATTGGCTGCGGCGGGGCGTTGAGCTGGGCCTGCTGGTTGACCACCGTCTGCTGCAGATCACGGATCTGCCGGTCCTTGCCAACACTGATCGCATTGGCGCGGGCATCTGCAGTCAAGTGCGCGAGGGAGTGCCTGGCGTTGGTACGCATCCACCAGGTGACTGCGCCGGTATCCGGGTTGGTCTCCTTCCAGCTCAGGAGGTCACTGTCTACGGTGTGCGGAAGGCGATAATCTTCTTCATTGTCTGCATTGATATGAAAGTCGGCCTGAGGGAGATCCACCGGGTAGTTGGTGGCATCAATGAAAGGCATGGTTTAAAATTTGGGTGGAAAGTCTTTGGGATGCATAGTGGGTGTGGGCGAGGTGGCAGGTTTGAAGTTGAAGGTGATGGCCTTCGGGATGCGGAGAGGCGAGGGCGGCGGCAATGGTAAGCGATGCAAGCTAATGACGACTGATGACTGCGATGGGTCCCAGATAACGGCCGGTACGGGTCCGTCATGAGCAAAGTGTAAGTGTTGGAAGGCGGGCTCGAACGTGTAGTGGAGGGTGTCAAGTGGTCCTCATGGTAGATGACTTCTAGACTAATGAGGCGACTGTACTCCACCAAGAGCCTGCCTGAACTACGTTCGATGTAGTTGGTTAGAACAACGGTGTGCTCAAGCTGAGCGCAATGCGAGTGGCAAAGACTGTAAATGCGGTGATAGACCCAAGTCCTTACAGCAATCCCTGGGATCAAATAAGGGACTACCAAGTTTGGTAGGGTAGCGGACAAAGAGAGGCGAGGCACAATGACGAAGCTGGCAACGGTAGTGACAAAGGTGGTAACGGTGGCAATGAGTGTGAGAGCAAGTTGAGAATCTCAATCTAATGTTAGCAACAGCTAGGTGGCTGCTTACTAACAAAGATAAGAACGAGCGCGGGATAACCAAGATAAGTGGCTAGGTAGCCAGTAGATTGACTAGATCGAGGTTAAAGATAAGTTACAAGTGGGGGGGCACAGTCTTATATAGGTAAGGCAAGGTAAATAGTCATAAACAAAGGCGGGAACTGGATGAGTTGTTCATGAGTCACGGGAGTTGCCGAGTCACGTAAGAGTCTGGGAAAAGAAAAAGAAAAGGAAAAAGATCATGGATAACTGGGTATCGGTAACAGATGCCTGCTGGTTGTGCCATACACATGTCTTAGTCATCCAGGAGGTTGAGCAAGGGGGCGGCAGCTGTGAGGTTGGAGTTATTGAAGAGGTAGGAGTTTGCCAGGTCGTTCCAGGAGGGGTGGTGGTGGTTGAAGTCCCCCATGAGCATTAAATAAGAGTGGTCGGAGGGTAGGATCTTCACCCGATAATCAGAAAGATAATGTGCTAGTTCTGTCAAAGTACACAAGTGCTTGCAATTGATATAGATATTGAAGATAGAGATATTACCTATGTTTGTGTGGACCTGAATGACTGTCACATCCCTTCCTGGGAACTCCAGAAATTCGTAGTGGTTGGTACTGAGGTGTTTGGTGATGAGCATGATCAAGCGGTCCACACCATCATCCTTTGCCATATAGTAACCAGTTAGGTAGACTACATAAAAGAAATAGTTGGCTCTAGTGTTGCTGAGGAAATCAGTGCAGGGCTCCTGTAGGAGAATGATGTTATAGTGCTCAGCTAGAGAAGAGCTCAGGAGGTGCTCTTATGCCACTTGTGATTTGTTGAGGTTCCGTTGCCAGATGCTGAGGTTCTGTTTCCAGATGCGTAGATCGGTCTGAGAAAGTGCTGAGGTCTGCTGCTGCCCACTATACATTGGCATCTGCAGTCATTTGGTTCGTGGGCGCCACCGGGTTCAGCACCTCGTCAAGGAAATGAGAGGACCAGTGTCTACATTCCTGCTGGTTCAGCCCCGGTGGTATCACCCATGTGGAGGCTTCACCAAGAGACGGTCGGTGCGGGGGTTCAGGCTGAACCTCGTGAGGGTGTTGGTGTTGGTATTTGTAGTTATCAAAGAAGACTCCAGGTGCCACCAATGCCTTATAAGTCCACGGCTCTGATGTTGGAAAGAAGACCTTGCAGTTCTCCGGGTGGCGAATGTTGTAGTCACAACACTTCACATGGAATGTCGGGCAGCCGCAGTCCCTGCTGCAGTGCGAGTCCATCTGGCAGGAGATACACTTGTAGTCATTGGGTATGCGCGGGCACATCTTTGGTTCTTGCCACAAGTGCTGCAGACAAAGATGTCTGATTTGCATTGATTGATGAGATGTTCAAAGGATTGGCACTTGTTACAGCGCCGTGCCTCCCATCTCTGCCACTGCATGGCGAGCCACCTGCTGCATATGAGCAGCCCGTTGGTGATAGCCTTGTTGCCGACTTCCGGTGACTTGAAAGATATCATCATGTGTGCGAACAGCTGGCCCTCCTTGCACCGCTCAATCAGCTTAATCCAACATGCCCATAAAATGCTATCTTTTGGGAGCCAAATAGCTGCCTCAATTTCCCATACGTTGCTGGGATGTCTGGATTGCACGAGAGCGGCACAAACTGCATGATGGTGTAGTAGAGTCTCTTCTTTGTTGTGACGTGGTAGACAATGTGTTCCTCCAACAGCTATATGCCGATCTCCAATCGTAACCACTCTGCTGCCTTGCACAATGACATTTCCACCTTCACACCCCCTTTGTGTGCTCCTAAAACCCTCCTCACAACTAGTGTCATGCCTGCTTTCTCTTTGAGCTTTCCATTGCAAATCGCTCCGGCGAACTTCTCCTTGAAGTCCGTCATGCGCGGGCAATCTGGGAGCGCTGTCTTCCCTCAGAAATGTCGTCCGTGCCAGCATCATAGGTTATGCGCTTCTGCCCGAGTGTCTCATTATTGCATGCAACGACCTCTCACATGTTGTTCGTGGGCGGGGGACGTGTGGGAGGGGGAGGCACCTTCTGCGGGAGTATGATGCTGTGGAGTCCGCCAAAGTCCAGGGTACTAAAGTCTAGCACAGGTGTGGGCTCTCCGGGTGCAGCAGAGAGTGCAGTTGTTGACGCTTTCTGTAGGGTTGAGAGCTTTGTCGCGCCCACCGACTTGAGCTCATCGAGCTGGTGTTTGACCTCTTTCGTGTGGCCAGTGAACACGACCTTGAAGAGAGCCTCAGACTTGGATAAGAAGTCCTTGGGCAGCACGGACACCGGTTCCAAAGTGGGGGTAGAAGACATTTATCTGACAAGTTCCGCAACAGTGTAAAGCAGGGACTACTTATCCGCGATTGTAGCAATGTTACTGGCAAGAGCCTCTAGTACGCTCGCAAGACCGGATAGACTAGACGTGTCCTCCAGAGTTGCGACACCCGCATCCATGATGATCTTCGCTGGATCTACAACAGGTTCCTCTGTCTCCTTCCCGGCCTCCCTGCCCTACTGAGAAGGCTGCGTTCCGGGTAGTGACAATGCAGACCTACGAACATTATCCAGTGACGAGTTGCGAGAGACCAATCCCGTGAGGGTGGTCTGCATTAGGGCAGGTCCGGCTTGTTGTTCTGCGCGTCCCCTTGGCGGAGGTTGCAGCATGGTATAAGTCCCGGCAGGTGGACATGTAGTATCATTATTTACGGGTTTGTTATTCCCAGTTTTTGCAGGCACTCTCATGTTCTTCGCAGTCTTTACAGGCTCAGATGGAATGGGGGTAGCCCTGGGCTGCCTTAACATGGCGCGTGTGGTTGGCCTGTTGGTCCCAGTACCGCCATTTGCTCCCTGGCTTCCAGCCATTTCTCTCGTACAATACTTCTACTTGTACGGACTACCACAACCTATTGACTATGCACCGATTTAGGTTGATGCACTGAGGTTGATTTTTGGAGATGGTGGTGGTTCTTTTTCAGTCTGCAATGTTAACCTTGTCGTAGGTACCGCTGGTAGATTCACTAGAGCTACGAATATTGGCATGAGAGTGGAACAGTGTTCTAGACTACTCACGTTGCCTGTGGCAGTACACTGGCCTATTGGCGATTCTTAGCACTCCAAGTAGTAGATGTCATGAGGGGAGAGAAGATGGGGACACTAATTAGTGACAGTCAACTTATATAGGAGGGTTCACACCATCGGATGTGGAGGTTACTCCCATGCAAGAGAGACAAAGGCCCGATGTAAAGCGCATGGCAACACAAGGTCAAGCTTACAGCGGCAGGATGTAGAGCGCATGATGATGCAACGTTGAGCTTACATTGGAGCAATATAGCTTCAATGTAGCCGTGATGTACCACCTACATAACACTCTCAGCGGCTTGACACACCGGGTTCATTGCAGTACCGTGCGCTCTGGCGGCAATACCATTAAATATTCAGGAACCATTCGTCTCACATGTCCTACGGTCTGCACATCCATGAAACATTGAAGTCTTCCAACAGAGTTTTATTGCAGAATGGGTATACATGAAGGAAGGCACCCGGGCATGTTCTGATAGCTATATAAGACATTCTGACCCCCCTGCCATCACCACACCCTGTCCAGCTAGCCTCTAGCATGTCCTACTTGCTTCGTACATCAATCTGCCCTGCTTTATGTATAACATCGTACTCACATTGATTGAATGTAGATGAAGATGGCGAGTATATTGTCAATGATTATTCTGGGGATACCTCTGTTATCTTCGGAGCATTCTATGATAAGGAAACAAATGAACTTGAACCATGGTAGACTATCCCGCAGAGTATGGACTTGTCTATGTATACGTGTGTCGTGCCTGGTCTCTGCCATGGGTCCAGCATGGGAGAGGACCGAGTACTGTATGACTCTGTGATCCATCCACATGCAAAAGTCAACTGTCCTTGTTCTGTCACTATAGTACTGTACAGCTGTGTAGACTCGATGAACTTTTCCATAACCAGAAATTGGAACCAGTATGTACTACTGAGGCTTGCTTATTTAAGTCATGCCAATCTAACACATGCTAATATCAGGACACTCGGAGGTGCAGCTAAAGCCATCCAGTGGATCAAACTCACTGGTGGCCAGTTCTGTAATCCACTCAAGGCATTTGGAACATGTCATTGGTACCGTACGTGGTTGTGGCCTACCCTCTGCTGACCAGGAAGCTATAATGTGCTATTGTCAGCAAGAGTTAAAGGTTGGGTGATGTGTATTTGAGAAGGGACAAACTGTTGCGAGCCGTCATATATACCATGCTGCATGTGCTGACGCTGTATGCAGGTTACTGCACATACAACACCTTCTATTTATTCCATAGGACCAGCATCATCTATCCAGCATATCTGGTGCATCACATCTACCCCAAAACTCGGATATTGTCAGGTGGACTTACAGATCAAAGCATGCAGCGCATTGAGCTTTCCTCCAGGAGATTTTGTCCAGGTAATAGTCAAGGTTATTGCCCTTGCACAGCGTGGCAAGTACAACATGCCGGCCAATGTGACAGTGAGATTTGACCTGTTGTCGTGCATCCATCTTTTGACATCAAAGGAAGCAAATAATGTACGCACCCCTCAGAAAACGTTCTCAGACAGCATGCTCACACAACTTCCTAGACCCTGCCCCGAGACATGGACAAAGCACCTGCCATTAATCTACCAGTGCCGTCCGATATCCAGGACCAGATGGAAGACGTAGTTGACAAGGGACCTGACATGCTATAACTTAAATAGATTCTGGTGGTGCATAATGAGATAGAACTCACCTTCAGTATATCATGCTGCACGCCTGCAGATGAGCGTATAGTTCAACGCGTCTCATCAGCACATGCACTCAATCGGCTCAACCCGGCCTGGGCGGCCTTACCTCAGAAACAGTTGTTGCACCCGAACTCCTATGAAGCGGCACTTCACTCTTACTCTAACAATCAATAGAATATACTGCCTCAATAGTGTTATCATGAAAGACGGCCTTACATACAAGCTAGCAAATTGCATCGCTCGAAACTGCATGAAGATATACTTGTCTAGATGGTACAGTAACTTGATCACTGTGTTTGTATCAGCATCACATACACTCAATAAACTGACCACATACACTCTTGATATGCATATAAAATGTGTACATTTGAAGAGGAAATGCACAGTCAACGTAGGCTTGACATAGGCTCGACATAGGCTCGGAGTAAGCTCAACGTAGGCCCGATGTAGACTCGACATAGGATTGACGGTGACTTAATATGAGCCTGATGTGAGGACGACGTGAATGGTGTTTTGAACTTGCATAAAGGCCATAGCTCTGGTTTATCCATCATGCAGGTGTACAAATACGGTCATGCGGCCAGCTATAAAACCCCCAAGCCCAAACAATCCTGAGAACGCCAACCGCTTGCAAGGCAATACTTCACTCCACCGTCTCATACATCGTACCAATACAAATACTTCACAATAGACTCGACGGACATAAAGAAACCTTCTTCTTTGTGTAATAGCATTCTTGCGCGGGCCCACAACATTGCCAAGAATATCGTCAAAGGACATGTTCATCCTAGAACTTGATTACACCACTAGTCGACACAGTATGTCCACATACCTGATAATACTAATATACCCTGTCAGCTCTATTATTGCTACTCTACCCAATGAGGTTCTCAGTATGATCTTCCATGAGGCTACTTGGTTAATGGGTCTTCCTCTCTTTGCTCCTGGCTACGGTCAGCATGGCCCGGGCTGGTTTGTTCTACTCTGGATATGTGCTTGATGGCGCGAGGTTCTTATTATGGACCCTTCTATTTGGGCAGCATGCTACTTGCACTATCCCAAGTTACAGTCGCTCTTCATCAATCATGCACGGCTCATTCCACTCATCTATAGATTGAACATCTCCGAGCCTCGTACCTCACCAGCGAGCGGCATATTTCAAGCCGACAAAGTTTCACTCTCACACTTCTTTTCCCATACTCCCCTAGACAAATGCTGCAAGATCGATGTCCATGATGGTTACGGGAACAACATTGCAAACTATATATCTGGACTGGCGGAGGCGTCAACACACAAAGCCCTCAAGATTCTTCGCAATCTTCACCTGGAGACATGGCATTGGTGCTGGACCAGCCTGAGAGCAAAGTGAGTTACCATATCGTCCAATAGCGCTAGTTCCCAGCTGACCAGAAGTAGCGTACTTATGCAGGGACATGACACATTCACAATAATAGCCAACAATGTACACCTACAACTCTGTTGGACCATTGTCATTCACCCGAAGTCAAATGGTTCACTCTTATCATTGGTGCCAACTACCTTTCCCGACCAAACATCGACGTATTCTATTGGGCTATGACGATGCTAGGTATAAAAAAGCTTACTCACTTGATGCTCACCAATCTGGTCGGATGTTCACACATATCAGGCCAACCTGATTCTACTGCCCGCATTGACACATGTCAGCCTAACAGGATACACTTCTCACATTTCCAATGTCCTCGGGATATTCTCTTGAACTCATGGCCATGTGTACACAAACTTGCGGACTGTAGTGGGAGATGGTCCAAAACAGAGTTCTGCAGATGAGCAAGATATATTGGGCATATGTTGTGAGTACAGATGAGTTCTCGTCATGGTATGTGTTTGCTGATGGCGCTCACAGACTTTGCTTGCCATCAGGACACAGTCCGTGCAGTGACAGTCCAGTGCGATGCCCATGAAGAACATTTGGCCGATTGAATTATGCTGCGATTCTGGTCTACAGACTGGAGTTCCAATTGTAGGTCCTCTGTAGACCCCGAGTTGTTGATTTCTTTCGGAGGAGCTTATTTACCGTGCATGTGGTAAGAGACAGTCATTGCAGCATTGCAAGTTTGCAGCGGTATCAATGTCAATCTGCTCGTACTTGCTCTGCCGTCGAGTGGCATCCTGCATGACAACATTCCCTGGGAAGGACTCTTCACGCTTACACCCAACCTTCAACACCTCTTCTCGTGATGACAAACCGTAGACAGTATTGGTACAGTGGAAGATGGCCACATTTTGGGACACAAATTTCATGCTCGTGTACACGAATTCAGACCTTTCTAATTTATAAAATTTGATACACAAGACATCTTACCATACTTAGGCATGTAGCATATCACATTAATACAAGCTTTGCATACCAGTGCACGTGCCATGAACAGAAAAGGCAATATGATATGCAAGAAAAATTTGAATGTCTGGTACAGAGAGTCGCTATATGTATATGGCTACAAAAAATTCTACAACCATCCACACTCATACTCAACTTATCACTGACTGTG